CCGACAGTACCTCGAGGGTTAGTCCCCGCAATCGCGCGGGGGATACCTTGGTTTTCACAACAAAAAAGCAAAATCTCTTCCGATACGTAAGAGTTTCTAGTGTAAAAAGACTATACAGCTGATTATGCTTACAACTTGTAGACGCTAAACAGCTTGCCCGGTTGACCAAAAACCGTTTAACAAAAGGCTGAACTCGATTATTTCAAGGATTTTTAGCCGTTTTATCCCTTGAATTATATAACACATTTCAAACTTAATCCCATTGATTATTTTGTCCGCCAATATAAGTATTTGGGTGAATAAAGAGAAGTGCGGGGTTTAAAAACAATTCTCCAACTTTCAGGGCATGTTTACGTATCAGTAATGGGTATGGGAGGAAAGGGAATGATTTCCATTCCTAACTTCCCTTGCGTTTACTTGCAATCAGGAATGAAAAAAAAAGGTGGGCCCCACCTCAAAATCCGTAATCACATCACCTCAAAACTAGGTATCATATCAACTAGGGGGGAGTAGTCAATATGATTCCCATTCCTGTTTTCTCTTATTGACTTCCAAAAATACCCTTACCACTTTACCATAATTCCAATTAGGGGGAGTTTAATCGTGTGAAGAATGCGTGCCCCATCTGCAACTCTGAAGCATTGACGACTACCGGGAAGAAGAATATATAGAAATGTGGTGACAGTTGAATGACAAAGGGCTTCCTTCCTTTGTTCTTCTACTAATTTTCTTTTGTTATGTATTTTTGTATATGCACTCAGCATATATATATAAATATACTGACCAACAGTAACACCATCCCACCTCAATTATTTGTTGGCTTTTCGAAAACATTGGTCCTGTATCTATCAAACTTGTACAGACTGTTTTTATTTTTATTTTTTATAATTCAGTCTTCATGTATGACATTTTAGTTTGGTCTCCTTAGCTAATTTGAGAATTATATATATGCTGTGGTGAAAGTGTGCAGGACATTTTAGTAATCAAATTAATTTGGATTCTAATTCATGAAAATTAGTAAACTATAACAATGGGAATCAACCCCATTCCTTTGCTAATTTCATATGTTTAGTAAACAGCTTAATGGAAATGATTCTTCCCATACTGATTAAGTAGTTCCCCGATTCCTAAGTTCTCTGATTCCTTACTTTCTCCATTACTGATACGTAAACATGCCCTCAAAGTTCAGCAGTAAAGAGTTCTTATTGTATTAACACTCACACACAACGGTCAAAATTTCTCCCCAATTGTCTGTTCAATCAATTAGTGTTTAGGGTTTGATGATGAAGCTTCTTGCCTCAAATCCATGGTGTGGCCATGCCATTTCTAGGGTTTTAGGTGCACTATTGTACTCAACCGAGGCCCTGGCCTCCTCCATCATCTCCTCCTCACCCCCATTTCAGTCCCTGTACCGTAGGATTTTGTTGGTTGGAAATCGAAATCCTAGGGTTTCCGTTGTGCCGATGCTCGATCAGTGGGTCAAAGAAGGGAGAGAATTGAAGCAACCAGAGATCAAAGATTTCATCAAGCAGCTCCGTAAATCCCGTCGCCATAGCCAAGCACTCGAGGTTTCAGAATGGATGAGTGATGTGATGAAGCACGATCTGTCTCCCGGAGGTATTGCTGTTCGGCTAGATTTGATCTCCAAAGTCCGTGGTCTGCAACAAGCTGAGAAGTATTTCGATAGCATCCCATACCCATTTAGAGGTGTTCAATTGTATGGTTCTCTCTTATACTGCTATACATGTCATAAATCTGTGGAGAAGGCTGAGATTACTTTCGGAAAGATGAAAGAGTTGGGTTTTGCGAAAGGATTTTGGGATTATAATGCAATGTTATCCCTCTATTTTCGAACGGGTGAATATGAAAAACTACACGTTCTAGTCGAAGAGATGGAAGAGAAAAACATTGGTTATGACATTCACACATTGAAACTCAGAATGTTATCGTATTCAGCCACTGGTGACATAGACCAAATGGAAAAGCTTTTGGTGAAGATGGAAGCTGATCCTCTGGTCACCATGGACTGGCATGGTTATTTTGTTGCAGCGAAAGCATTCTCGAAGGCTGGACTGTTGGAAAAGACATCAACATTGCTGAGGAGATCGGAGCAACTAATTGACAATGACACAAGGAAAATTGGTTATGAACACCTGATGATTTCATATGCTGCTATTGGTAATAAAGATGAGGTTTATCGGATTTGGGATTTGCACAAAAACACCGTAGGATTCTACAATAATGGGTATCGATGTGTGGTGAGTTCGTTGATGAAGCTGGGTGACATTGACGGTGCTGAGAAGATTGTGCAGGAATGGGAATCTGGGGTCAAATTCTATGACATTGGTATACCCAACTTACTGGTCACTGCTTACTGCAGGCAAGGTCTTTTTGAGAAGGCCAAATCATATGTAGAGAAGCTTATGGAGAGCGGAGAGGGGAATGCAAGCACATTGCTTGTTTTGGCTACAGGATATCATATGAATGGTCACATGGAAAAGGCAGTGGAAGCAATGAAAAACGCAGCAAAAATGTCAAGTCGATCAGGACGGAAGTTTAACGATTCAACTTTGGATGCATGTCTTAAGTACTTGAAAGAGAAGGGAGATACGAAATCAGCACATGAGATTTTGAGATTATTGAGAAAAAAGGGTTATTTACCAACAGGTTCATGCGATAAGTTAGAAAATTATGTTGATGGTGGCCAACCCCAGGTTTGAAGTCCTTGATAAGGTGAAAGGGGAAATCATATGGTAGGGATTAATAAAATTCAGGATGAAGGGAGGGAGACATGTAAAAGTGGAGCTTAACAATGTGGGTAGGCTGTTAGCAACTCAAAAGCTATGTAAATGTATGAGAGGTATTTTGTTCTATCTAAACGCTTCCGATGACTAGGTAGCTACTAGTTATGCTTCAGTAAATACATGGTTAGAAAAATGGAAACAGATTGCTTCCAGCTTAATCTAAATTTTGTCAATCAAGCATTTACATGTGATTTGGTTTTGGGGAAAGGTGATATACATCCCAGACAAAGCCATTGTTTGAAACATTGTGGTGTTGTTAGTAACTATGTATCTGACATGCCGATGAACTCTCTCAGATGGGAGTGTTCCACTATAATATCTGTCTTATTTGCAACAATTAACAAGTGCTTCTTGTTGCCTTGAAGCATCTCAATCCTTTATTTGCAACAATTAACAAGTGCTTCTTGTTGCCTTGAAGCATCTCAATCCTAATCTCAAAAGACATCAGACCAGAAAACAAAAATGCTCAAAAGACAAAAAAAAAGGGGGAAAGCACAAAGAATGTAGAACCAGTTAGTAGTGGGAATCTATCATGGCATATTGTGATCAGCATCCCCAGTTGTTTTTTACTCTGTTTTTGTTAATCCACTTGGTTTCAACTAATATTGTTTGTATTTTTGCTTGGCAAAATAAAAGCGGCAATATCTAATACTTTTCTTAATAAAATATGGAGACTTTGTAAGACAAGCAAGCCGCCGGCAATGAAATTGTCACTATCTGCCACAATTCAAGACTAATGCTTACATGCAGTTAAGCATCCACTGACAAGTGACTACTATAAGAAATTGGTTTATTAGCACCAAAGCAGATTAAAAAAAATCAGCCTAATAATAGAAACACATAAGAAAAACCGAGGCCTCCTAGAAATTCCAGCAGAGGAAAAATGTCAAACAAGAACACACATAAGCTTTCACGTATGTAATGACTTAATGATTGATTAAGTGCTAACGTTAATTACAAAGCCGTCGCATCGCATGAGACGATGGTTTTAGTACAAGTAGTGGCAGTCATGTTTAGTTACTTCCAGAATTATTTCAAGTGTGCCTTTTAATATATTTTAAAGTCAAAAGACTCAGACGATCGTTTGATAGTTTTTGGTTAGCCTACTTGCAATGGAGCTGTTCATCTTAGTCATCTTGGCACTGGTATTAATTTTTGTTTTTTCAGCTTTCTTTGTGCTGCACTCTTGGACTTCATCACCAAAGAGCTTGGCGGACATCCCAGGTAGCTTGGGTTGGCCGATTGTGGGAGAAAGCTTCTCATTTATATCAGAGTTTTCAAGTCCATCTGGTATTTACAGCTTCGTGAACAAGAGGCAGCAGAGGTAATCAATTAAATCAAAATCTGCCCCCGCATCTGCTTTTGACTTTTGCATTAAAAAATGAATTTCCAAATTTTCCAAAAGATATCATTTTGATCTTTCAATATTGAGCTTAGTAATTTATTTTGTAGGTATGGGAAAGTGTTCAAGACTAGTGTGTTGGGTAGATTCACTGTGTTCATGACTGGGAGGGAAGCAAGCAAGATGTTGTTAGCAGGAAAGGATGGGATGGTGAGCTTAAACCTCTTCTACACAGGGCAGCAGGTGCTAGGGCCTACCAGCTTGCTCCAAACCACTGGAGAAGAACACAAGCGGCTTAGACGGTTGATTGCAGAGCCCCTATCGGTTGATGGCCTTAAAAAATATTTTCAGTTCATCAATACTCTGGCAATTGAGACATTAGAACAGTGGCCAGGACGAACAGTTTTGGTTCTTGAAGAAGCTTCTACAGTTTAGTATTGTTTACCAAGTCAAGTAGAACATTTCTTAATCGTCACTGTAACACTGTTTCCAGGGAAACAACTTAATATTCTAATGTTTTTGCAGTTCACTCTCAAAGTTATCGGCAACATGATAATGAGCTTGGAGCCTGCTGGTGAAAAGCAGGAGAAGTTTAGATCCAATTTTAAACTCATCTCTTCCTCCTTTGCATCCTTGCCATTTAAAATCCCGGGAACAGCTTTCCATCGTGGTATTCAGGTATCACTTCTTCATAGCTCATCAGTTTGAAACAGTAATGAATACACACATTTTTCTTCTTCAAATGTAGTATGGACATTGTTGGAATTTATCTCTGATACTTTCGTTCTATCTTATCAGGCTCGAGATAGGATGTATGCAATGTTGGACTCAATCATTTCTAAAAGGAGAAGTGGAGGAGGCTTCCAACAAGATTTCTTAGAATCACTGATAATGAAACATAGCAAAGCAGCAGGGGATGAAGATGATAAAGATAAACTCACTGATAAACAATTGAAGGACAACATATTAACTCTGTTGGTTGCAGGTCATGATACTACAACTGCTGCTCTCACATGGGTTATTAAATTCCTTGGAGAAAACCCTTCTATTCTGGAACAACTAAGAGTAATGTATCTAGCCACCAAGGCAAGGTTTTCATTGATATTTGATTTCCACAGGGGACTAAAATATAAAAAGTGTCGAACTTACAGGATGAGCATCGACAAATTCAATCAAACCGAGAAACTGGAGCAAATCTAACATGGGATGAAGTTAACAACATGCCTTACACCGCCAAAGTAATCAGCTCATTAATCTTCAAAGCTCTTCTGTTATAACTTATCAGCTGACAACTGATATCTAGATGTTGAACCTCAGGTAATCAATGAAACTCTTAGAAGAGCCACTATATTACCTTGGAATTCAAGAAAAGCTGCCCAGAATTTCGAGATTGATGGTACGACACTTTGTCTCCAAAAAAGAGATAACAAAAGCCAACATTTACTGCACAAGTGTGACTACATGGTTCTAACTCATTTTCCACATTACAGGATACAAAATAGAGAAAGGCTGGTCTGTTAACTTGGATGTTGTCTCCATTCACCATGACCCAGAAGTCTTTCCCAATCCTCAAAAGTTCGATCCCTCCAGGTTTAATGTAAGCTCCTTTCATATCAGCAATTTGCAGTTGATATAGGTAGCTTCCCGAAGCCATTGTATTGTTAAATAATTGTTAAAAAAAATGCAGGCACCCCTAAAGCCTTTTAGCTTTCTTGGATTCGGTAGCGGACAGCGAATGTGCCCCGGAATCAACCTGGCCAAGCTCGAAATCTCAGTATTCATTCATCACCTGGTCTGCAGATACAAGTAAGATGAAGAATGACATCTTTCAGTTTAAAATATTAAAATTATATATAAAAAATTAACAGCTATAAGCATAAGTCAAATAGAAACTATGCTTAAAACAAACATATGATTTGTCCAATTTTTCATGCAGTTGGAAATGGTTGAGATGTTTAGGATAACTTTAACCATCTGAGCTGAATTTTCAGGGAACTATGATTCTGATTCTGGATTTAATCACTATTACAGGTGGATCCCTCTGGAGAAAGACGACTCAGTCCAGCCAACTCTTGTAAGGATGCCAAAAAACAAGTATCCGATTGTAGTTGAGTCACTTTGAGACATTTACGTTAAAGAAAATCCCAAGGCACTGATAAGAATAAAAGTTACTAGATTAATCCTAGCTTGTCTAGTGTAATTTTGCTGCTTGTTGGTATTAGGCATGTCTTGCTCAAATGCTACAAGTTGTCTACTTCTATCATGGATGCATAAGATCGATCTGTTTCAACTTACCCAAGTAGTGTACAAGAATTCTACATAAAAATGAGAGAAGAATTAGCTTCCAAAACTGTTACAGCAAGTGATAACAAAAACTAAAAACTGAAAAGGAAATGGCCGAAGTTTTTCACTAGCGCTCTACTCTCTCCCTCTCTTTGATACTTTAATCTAGATTCTACTCACATTTTGCATCTATTTATAACCATAAAATTAACCATTTTCGTCCTAGTTGTCAACAAATAAAGACCGAATGGTCTTCAATTAATACAACACCTTTTTTGTTTTTTGTTTTATTTTTAATATAAGCGATATTCTAAATTACACTAAATTAATCTAATATACGAGGAGGGAAATTCGACTTAGGTGTAAAAAGAACAGCCTCACTATCCTAATCGACTGGTCTAACCGACACATACATATTTTGTTGTAGCTAAGTCTACTCTATCCCATCCATACAAAGTCTTCATTTTGTTGCATCAACATTAATTCACGGGTCCCATTACATGATGTTCTTATCAACTTCCAACGGGATCACCCTTTTGCAACAAATGATTCATGTCTCATCAAGTTTCTGCTATACGGCAATGTCTCCTCAAACGTTGAGCCTCTTACAAAGTGAGGCAGAATGATGATGAATTTTAGAGTCTCTAGGAATCAAGAGAATTCCATTTTTGGTATACATCAAGAAAATTTAGAGTGAAAATGAACTGCGCCCTCTTGCTGGCAGTGTTACAGACAACTCTAAATAAAACAAAAGAAAAATAGCAATAGAGACACAACCTCATATTAGATTTAAAGGCTATTAGCTATTTAGGTAATAGTTGAGTAGGATGCTAAAATTAATCTGAGATAAGGCAAAGGTATTTCGAAATTATGTTCCAGTTTATTGGTCTGTTTTCAGAGCAGTGTGTTAAGGCCTTACAGCACAGTTGTATGACAAAACAAAAACTTGCATCTGAGGCATCAAGTAATAGTTGAACCACCATAAAAGCAGTCCACTGATACAGGAATTTTCACAAGCGTTCATAAGAACAAAAGGGAGAAAACCCATTGAAACAAAACTAGAACCTACAAAAAGCTGCAGGAATAAATAAAACAACTACCATACAAAAAGCTCAGTGCGAAAAAATTAATCACTTGTGCTGCCCACAAGCACAATTCTCAGTTCCTACATCAGCTGCAATACAGGGAGGCTGAACTTTCTCATCTTTGTACCAAGTTGAGCGTTTTTCAACTAGTTCATTTAAGAAATCATCCAATTTATCGATGTTGACACTTGGCATCACCACAACATGGGCAATATTTCCTTGGCAAGCCAACTGCCACCTGCGAACAAACTCCTCGTCCTTTGGCCGCTCAAACACAACCGTGCTACTTAGCTCATTCAGCATGGCACTGATCCCAGCATCACGAAGGCGGTCCTTCAAGTAGTGAGCATTTCTAAGACATTTCTGGACTTCTTTTTGGAACCC